AAACTTTTTTTTAAATTAAATAACTAATTTTTGTCTCGTGAACTTACAAAGTTATTTGCCAAACAAACTTTTATTTGCACACATCAGAAATCTTTTGTTGTGATTTTAGGCCCTGACCATGACGTCATGTGAGAATCACAAGCAAAACTTTGAGTCACAAACCAAAACGTAGAACAGCAAGAAAAGATTTGACATGTGCAAATAAGTTTGTTTTGCAAATAATTTTTTCCACTTCATGAGACAAAAATGTGTGATTTTAATAAAAAAGTGATTTCAAGCACCTGCCCCTTTACTAGTCTCTGCACGGCCCTGAAAAATAGCATCCAGGAGAAAAAATCCTGTAAACTTTCGTTGAGCTGTGTGTTAGATACGTACTGTCTGTCTGACAGTAAGTAAACAGGTTGACTTGGTAGAAGTCCAGCTGATTTAGCGGGGTTGGGTTAAGAGTAGGAGCTTCTTCCATCTCATTATTCCTTTCATTGTGGATCTTTCCATTCTCTGGATCTTCTTCCATGTCTGATCTATCCATTTCCTGTTGACGTGTGACAACACTTCATCAAAATTTTAAACCAAACAAGAGAGTAAGCAAGAATAGTCATCATAGCTGATACTGTGCTTTACATTAATGAAGCACTGTGACATAACTGAAATTACAATATTTGTGACAGTATGGATTACTAGAATATGTTTGTGATTTTAAATGTCAAAACTTCTTTAAATGGTATTTAAGTGTACAGCAAGTAATTGTTTTGCTAAACTTTGTGCAATTAGTATTGAGGTAATAAGCATCCCACCTTTGTAGAGCTGCTCCCACTTTCATCATCCTCTCTAGTACCTGCTAGATTATTACAGAAAGATAAATCGCCAGCCCCCTGGTAGAGTCAATCAGATACAGAAAACAGAAAGCAATTAGGATATGTAAGACACAAGCAAGCAAACTTAAATAAAATGGAATGTTAGATTTATAGTTTTTTGTTTCAGAGGTTTGTTTTTTATCATTACTACATTTTTGTTCATGTCAGTCTGTAAAACTAACATGAACTACCTGTATAATACTATGGCTTACTCTGAAGTTTTTGTGCACTGTGTAGTATACTGCAAAACTTTTAATATTGCCTGAAAAATAAATTTATTAAATATGTAACGTATACCAAAAACAAATATTAACAGTGTATTGATAGTGGTTTCTCTCTTCAGATGTTAGAAGATTAAGCAGCACCTATCACATCTCTCTTTGGGTTTCACCTCTGAAATTGACCACAGCTTTAGAAAGAAGGCTGTGCAGCAGACTCAGGGCCTCTGGATGAAAGCAAAGCTAGTATGTGACTGCCTAATGGACTAAATAAAGGGTTGCAACAAATTAGCTTGTGTATTGCGTTTTTGTAGTCAAATCAGCCAGAGCACAGATTTATAGCTTATCCTTCTGTATCGAGTTGCTGCTCAGTCAACCAGTATTTGGTGTAGCTCCAGCATTTTGTGATTCTCTTGTCAGTGCATGTTCTGGTAGCTCACCAGGATGGATCTGATTTCAGACCTCAATGGTCTGGGTCCTTGTTAATGACGGAACATAGCTGATGCAGATGTCTAATCTCCCATTCCAACTCATTCCAAAAAATCTAGATTTGACTCTGGACTCTATCAATGTGAAGTGAACTCATTGTCATTTTGAAGAAACCAGTTTGACAAGATTTGAGATGTGACATGGCACATCATCCAGATGGAAATGGCCATCAGAAAATCAGTACAGTCTGGTCATAAAAAGTTGGACATGGTGACCAAAAATATTCATTTTGGGGGTGATGTCACAGTCATGGAGTCATGAGGACACTAGTGTCTCATGAAATATCACACAGCATGAGCCCATGTGACATTGTAACCAGGCTCTGTGCCAACTCTGTGGCCAAGATCTTATTGAAAAAGATTATATTTTCCCACAGATTCATAGTATTGTCACATTCTAATAGGAATAGCCTCTACTTCCCTCATATCTCCAACATAACATGCCTGAATCACATAACTTAAGTCTTGCCATCATAAAAGGAGTCCAGTAGCCTCTGTGGATAATCTTTTAAGTGAACAATAGAACTTGAATTGGCTCTTGATATTTTGCCTTTTTATATTTTCCAGGATATAGTTATCTCCTCCCATTTCCCCACAATTCTTTCCTTCCTGCATCTCTTCCTCCCATGCCAATGCAAGACCATTAAATTTGATTGGTGAGATTGCCTCAGAAGGTGATGGGTTAGGGTTAGGGTTATCATCATGTGGATGATAACCCATCCAATTAAAAGTCAATGATATTACTATTTGAAAACAGTCATGTTGTGTTCTTAATGCAAAATAGAAACGTTAAGTATTGTGTTGAGGTGTCTTGGTTTTAGTTCCTAGCCTTTGTTTTCCCCTCGTCTCACTCTGCCCATTTCTTGTCTGAAACTCTGGGAATGTTTGGCAACTATTTGTCCAATAATCCAATAATCAAATTAATTGATTATTTTGTCAAATTAACAACAATAATCAACTTGACAAAATTGATTATTGGTTGATTAGCCGACTTCTGGCTAAAGTTAAACCCATTCTTGTTCATTTCCAAAATTATGTATTTATTTGTTGTATTGCCCATAAAGCATGTCTCGTCATAAACTGTCTATACTAGCCTTTAAATTTGGAGTTCCAGCTTCTCCCCTCTGGGCGGAGGACCCTCTGATCGCCACCAGCAGGCAAGGAGAGTCTTGCCTCCTTGGGTCTCTTACCCAAGGAGACAAAATCCACAATGACAGAGGTGGGCAGAGTGGGGATCAAACTGGCAACCCACCTTGTACCACCGTCCCCATTTCAGTTCAGAGCTAAATCAAAACTGTATATGTTTACACCTGCTTTTAGCACACAGTAGTACTTTGATACTTCTATGTTTGCATCAGTGTTGTTAAAATCCTTTGTTTTTAACCGCCTTTATTCTTGTACTCCTGAAAAACACGTTGGCTTAGTAGTGGCTGTTTGTTTTGATCAATTCCACTGTCTCACTCTACAGAATATTTCTAACCACCTTTTTTAAATTACAGTTGAACCTGTGAAGTTCCTGTGGTTATTGTGGTTTACCATTATTAGGTCAGCATAGGCAGGCAGTGATTGACTTCTTCCCCATGGCTTCATAGGAAGAGGATCATCCTCAGTTGTGTCTGCAGGGGATGCAGATTCCTCAAGCTGGCTGTCAGGTGTCACTCCACCTCCTGACAAAGAACACAGAGTGTTCTCTTCCTGCAACAAGACAAAAGTGAACAAGCTCCAGTAAATGACCACAGTTTGGGTATCTGTACAACATTTATCAAACACATGAACAAATATGTATGATGAAATAAAGTTCAATATGTTTGAGATGAGCAATAAATATCTTAACCAATCAATCAGGCTTATTTGTAATGCACATTTTAGCAAAAAGGCAGTTGTTGCTGAAATGTGCAACAATTGCCTTGAAAAACAAATTTTTGGGGGGATTTTCTGCCTTACATCAGAAAAACACAAATTAACAACTGAAACATTATATTTTGCCAAGTGCCATGATTACACATGAAAATGTTGGTTAGTGTTTCATTTATTATGGCACAAAGTAACTCTAAAGAGGTG